TTATGATCATGCTAGTCACATCAAGTTTCACCTATTAGAATCGTAATGGTATCAAGTGATAAGTTAATTTGAAGATCTTTCAGACTTGTAGAACAATGGATAGTCAAGAAGACCATACCAGAGTAAGCTACCATAAAATGTCAGTAGGTCTTGGGTTTCACTCAGCGTGAGATTTACTGGCATAATTCATCTGCGCATAGAATAACATTTGTGATCTTTGGGGGTGGATGTCAGTTAAACAACCTCTTAATAAGTCAGAATACAATTTAATAAGGTAAACAAGCCTTTCAATAACTTCACAGTTTGCTATTGGCCAGAATCATCAAACTATTCATCCGATACACACACCCCACGCTTATTTGTACTAGATGTTCTTTAAAATCCCGTACATATTATTACAGACGTTCATTACACTTAGCCATCCCAATTTTGTAATGATGATGCTGTAAACTCCCCAATGAGGGCAGGCTAATACAGCATTAGCCTGGAGATTTATTAAAGCTATGCACATAGCTGTCAGTATTGGGATACCAAATAGACTCACGGATCAAGTTTTCAACAAGCGAATTAGGACAATGAAGTTCAAATTATTTAAGAATAATCTACTGTTATGAAGCTAAAACCTTACAGAATCGCTGTTTTTACTTTCATCCGGACAAAGGCAATGATAATTCTCAACCAATAAAATAAAGTACCATTATGTTCTGTTGTGTGTGACTATACTTTTTATGTACAGGAACATGTAAATGAATAATAATCATAATTTCAAAATGAAAATGGTAATCTAAAAATAGTAACATCAAAATGAACTGGTTCATTCAAGTAATTTAATTCATTATATTTTTCACGAAGGATGTTTGAAGATACGCTCTCAGGAGAGAAAAAAAAACCTTTCTTTCAAACGATACACCTTTTTACCTTATTTAGTCCATATTAATACCTAAATGGTGCATATTAGTATACTATAAATTGTACATGTATTATTAGTACCTTTTAAAAGGGTACAAGCCTCAGTGGCAGCTTTTGTAACTTTTTTTTTCATCTGAGTGTATCAAATTATGTTTTGTTGTATATAATCACTTCCCACAAGTGTTTTTGAACTCTTAAAAGCTCTTTGTGGTCTTTGAGGGTTAAAGGTAAATACAGTTAGTTGTAGCCTAATTGTCGTTCACACACTCTAAAAAATGCTGGGTTAAATACAACCCAGTGCTGGATAAAATAGGGACAAACCCAGCAATTGGGTTGTTTTGACCCAGCGGTTGGGTTACTACACTCTTGAAAATAAAGGTGCTTCACGATGCCATAGAAGAACCTTTTTGTCTAAATGGTTCCATAAAGAACCTTTAACATCTGAAGAACCTTTCTGTTTCACAAAAGGTTCTTTGTGGCGAAATAAGATTACAAAAACGCAAGAAAGAGATGGTTCTTTAAAGAACCTTTGACTGAATGGTTCTTTGTGGAACCAAAAATGGTTCTTCTATGGCATCACTTGAAGAACCTTTTGAAGCACCTTTATTTTTAAGAGTGTACCCAGAAGGTTGGGTTAACCGCTGGGTCAAAACAGCCCAATTGCTGGGTTTGCCCTTATTTTACCCAGCACTGGGTTGTATTTAACCTAGCATTTTTTTAGAGTGCACAAGCAATGCAATATCATTGTCTACCGCTCGTGAAAGCACAGAGAGAAAGCATACATTAGAATTTTGTAGGGTGCTCTTTTTAAAAATAACCCATGCATGACCATTTTTGAATGAATCCACCGGAAGCAGTGAGCGAAATCACCATGAACACTAACACAGAATCAAGCACTTCAACGATGACTGTTTGAAGCGTTCTTCTTATAATGTTCTCATTTGTCGCATCCTAGCCTACAATCTCGCTTCATTTTATGTCTTCAGCAGTCTTAATAAACATGACTGAATTCGAATCTGATTGAAGTTCATTTTTATTGTATACACAAAAAAGCACACAGTTAACCTGTTAATTCTACGTTTAAAAAAAGTTCAGCTGTAGTTGCCAGAACTTCTCCATGGGAATACGGTGTTTATAGGGATTTTGGTGACTGTGTCTATATTTTAGAGTTCCTATTAATATACTAATCTATTTCACCTGTTGTTTTCTATGCTGATAATAACACAGGTGGTGCAATGGAAAATCAAACGAGGTCGCCCACACGAACACAAAACAGCATCAGTAAAACATTTGACACTAAAATTATGCTATAATCTAACTAATAAAAATAAATCTTATAAAACTGAATAAGGCGATTCATTGTTAAAACTTTAAGAAATGTTAACACATTTGATCATAAAAGTAGCCTATACGTTTTGTCTTATTCACACCGTAAGAGAGAATACTGCTGAGAATACAAATTAATTCAACAAAAAGTGTTCTAAACCTCAAGTTAATTGCATTAGCTCATAGGCAAAACAACAGGCTAATGGCTGTCTTCACTAATTAAGTTCACCAGCTAGAATTGAAAAATTACCTATGGTCGTTATCACAGTGATGGCGAAATAAAACGAGCCGGCGAACATCCACTGGACTCCGGCTTTGTGAGGCTTCAGAAGCAACACGACCTTTTCAATCTGATCGAAGTCAAGCCTGGTGAGATTATATTTATGCATGAGTAGAAATTTTCGATAGTCTAGTTTGCTCTTGTGGCTTTTCTCTTGCTTTGACTCGAGAGCGTCGAAGACTCCCGCTCCAATGAGTAAATAGGACAAAGTGCAGATGATTAAGGCGAGTGTCCGCACGTTTTGTCTCTTCATCTTCTCATAGTCGTCTCAAAATATCCCTCAGGTTTCAAAGCTCCGGTCCGGCATGGGAACTTTCCTGATACGTGGCTTGTCATATCTCCCTTGTATCCCTTGGCAGCAAGAATCCAGCTGAGGGTCTCCTGAAAATCTGCCACAAGTGACCGTTAAGTAGTCGTGTTTAGTGGAGCTGTTCTTTCAGCACCACCACCAGAGACTCACACACGCTCCTTATATGGGCATTTGTTCCTTCCACTGATAAGAGAACCATGACAAGTTTATACTGTCACGCATCATAGATCATATTACATTGTAATTATTAAGTAATTACTAATTGAATGTCACTTTTTGGAGCTGTTAAGGCCTTTTTTGGGGGGGTTCCGCAAATAACCTTTTTGTGAACAGTTCTTAAAAGGAACATTTTTTTTCTTAGTGTGAAGAATATTGTTGAACCTTGTTCCACTACAAAGAACCTTTTGTGCATTGGAAAGGTTCCATTGATGTTAAAGGTTCTTTATGGAACCGTTGATGTCACCTTTATTTTAAGAGGCTATTACTATTAATGTTATAAATGATGTGTAACATAGACACCTATTCTTTTACATTAAGAACAGATAGTTTTATTTTATTTTTGAAATAAGCTTTAACCCCAACATTTCGACCCGGAGAGGATTTTCTTTTTCCCTAAAAATGGACTAAAACTTAATTACCTTTGCTCACAGGTCAAAACAACTTCATTCAGGGTATAACAAATTCATAATTTTTGTACTTTTTGTTGATTATTTTCCCTCACCCAGTTACACTTGTAGTGTTCCCGGTCAAAAATGCGTATAAATATGTTGTTAGGTTATATTAGCACTAAATATTGTGTAAAAAAAATGTATCAACTTGTTTTCATTCAATTAACACAGGTTTTGTATTTCTTTTTGGAACCGATCAATCACAGGCCTTACTGATCTGAACTTATGCATCTCGTTTTTTTTGTATTAAACATTGCCAAAATTATCTACAAATATTGTTTTTGCTTTCACTCAAAAACTGAGGTGTACAAGCTCAGATCAATGAGGCTTATGACCAATCAGTATTAAAAAAATGCAAAGAAAACAAGCAAAACAAAAAGCTTGAATCCAAGATTTGCCAATAATATAGCATAATGAGAGATTTACAAGCAGTTTCAATAAACATTTTTGATCAGAAACACCAAATTATGTAAATGATTTTCAGCACAAGGGTTAAATCCAGCTCTGCAGATGATTCTTGTTTAAGAGTTTGCTTATGCTTTACTAATGCCAATATAATATCTAGTTACAACATACTGCACATGCACAGATTCCTAAATTGAAAAAAATTATCTAATAATCAGTCACATAAGGTAGCTCCAATAAAAAGAGTATCATAAAAGTTGTCTTATTAATATAATTCACAACATTCTGCACGTGCACAGATTGCTGAATGCAATAACTGTATCTAATAATCAGTAAGTCAATTGGTAATGTCTTACCAATATAATGTATGGTCAAAACACTGCACATGTAGTCCATGGAATATTTTTTATGGGAGGCTTTCAGGGAACTAACCCACTGTAGCTAATGAAGGCTGAAACGTTTTCCAATGGAACACAGTAATCCTGACCCCGTGCACTGTTAGCTGACCCTTTGCATATTTCAACAAATGGTTTCCAGGCTTCACAAATTGTTGTCTAGCAACATAATTAGCGTTCTAGTCCTTGAGTAAATATGAGTGGTCCTTGTGGGCTTTTGCAGACGCACCCTTTGCATAACAATTTGCCTCTAACAGCTTCTCTGCGCATCACTGCGAATTAAACTGTAGTTCTTTTAATGGTCACAGCATAAGTGGAGGACATCTGGATAAACAGACAACGCAGACCTTTCTGCTATTCTGAACAATCCCGCTGTCAAGACATTGTGCTCCTGTCTTCCTAGATTGCATTTTTTCTTTTATTTGAAAAACAACCTTTACCAAAACGTAAAAAGAACAACAACAACCATACATTTTACGTCTCACAGTAACCGGACAGCAGAATTAATTCAAATCAATATATTTATTTTCAAATATTACATAGAAAATATACAAATCTAATTTACTATGCAGCATTTCTTTACTCAAAATCTGTTAAAAACAACTGACTTGTTTGTTATGGCCACTATTTGATCGCATTCATGTTAATTATCTATAATTCTCTATCATAATATATTTTCACTTTTTGTTTTTGGATTTGTCCTTTTCAGCCTTTTTAAACATAAAACCTCCATTTTGTGAGCAAGTGATGTGTTTCAGGACACAACATGAAGCTGCACCACATTTTGAATGCAAAAGATCTTAAGTTAGCACTAATAAAAAGGTTCCCATACAAGATGGCATGATTTCTCAAGCCAGAGCCTTTGGCACAATTGGCATAAATAAGATCTCAAGAGTGTTCTCAAGGCAAACTTGAACAACATACACATATCATTTTAGTGCCTTGAATAACTGTGTTTTCCATATTTGTCAGAAAAAAACCCTACACTACTTGTGTAGTGTGTATAGACTGGGTAAATAATCCAGTCTTTTCAATGACAAGGACAAATGAGGCCATTTGTGGCAATTAGATCAATTCACCTTTGAACAGCAAGTGCTGCTGTTAATCGAGGTTTATTGGAGAATTTATCAGCCATTATAAGGCTTCGAACTCATCTATTCTCTGCTTGGTGTTGCCCATGCGGATCTGACGCAGCGTCTTATACTTGTCCCTCCCGGCTTGTACATTTTCATTGTGCAGAATGTCGTTCTTAGTCTTCTTAGAGTCATCTCGCGCCTCGGCCAGCTCAGAGCTCAGGGCCTAAAAGCAATTTAAGATACAGTTAGTCACAATGTACATCCCAAATGGGACAAGTGAAATTAAAAATTGAGAACTGAACAAATAGCTTTTGATCTGAAAGTGTTGATTTGAGATCAGTCCACTGAACGAGATGTGTTGTTCATTAATGACTCAAATGAATGTGGAGCGTTGTTCATATAAACACTGTGTCATGTCTTTTAACAAAGACTAATATAAGGTTAATAAGAATTGAAATTTTAAACAAATTCTCTGAACAAATCTAATTTTATTAAAAAAATGTATTTCTTTTTAGTCGCTGATTTGAGTCACTGAGAACGAAAGGATAATAATGAGTCCTG